TGTTTTGTAGTATGTGACATTGACAGAAGACCACTGTTTGTGTTATTCTGACAATCTGTGTTTTTTAGTTTTTGACGATGACAGTAGACCACTGTTTGTGTTATTTTGACAATCTGTGTGTCTTGTAGTTTGTGACGATGACAGTAGACCACTGTTTGTGTTATTCTGACAATCTGTGTTTTGTAGTTTGTGACGATGACAGTAGACCACTGTTTGTGTTATTTTGACAATCTGTGTGTCTTGTAGTTTGTGACGATGACAGTAGACCACTGTTTGTGTTATTCTGACAATCTGTGTGTCTTGTAGTTTGTGACGATGACAGTAGACCACTGTTTGTGTTATTCTGACAATCTGTGTTTTGTAGTTTTTGACGATGACAGTAGACCACTGTTTGTGTTATTTTGACAATCTGTGTGTCTTGTAGTTTGTGACGATGACAGTAGACCACTGTTTGTGTTATTCTGACAATCTGTGTTTTGTAGTTTGTGACGATGACAGTAGACCACTGTTTGTATTATTCTGACAATCTGTGTTTTGTAGTTTGTGACGATGACAGTAGACCACTGTTTGTGTTATTCTGACAATCTGTGTGTGTTTTGTAGTATGTGACAATGACAGTAGACCACTGTCTGTGTTATTCTGACAATCTGTGTGTGTTTTGTAGTTTGTGACGATGACAGTAGACCACTGTTTGTGTTATTCTGACAATCTGTGTTTTGTAGTTTGTGACGATGACAGTAGACCACTGTTTGTGTTATTCTGACAATCTGTGTGTGTTTTGTAGTTTGTGACGATGACAGTAGACCACTGTTTGTGTTATTCTGACAATCTGTGTTTTGTAGTTTGTGACGATGACAGTAGACCACTGTTTGTGTTATTCTGACAATCTGTGTTTTGTAGTTTGTGACGATGACAGTAGACCACTGTTTGTGTTATTCTGACAATCTGTGTGTGTTTTGTAGTATGTGACGATGACAGTAGACCACTGTCTGTGTTATTCTGACAATCTGTGTGTTTTTTGTAGTTTGTGACGATGACAGTAGACCACTGTTTGTGTTATTCTGACAATCTGTGTGTGTTTTGTAGTTTGTGACGATGACAGTAGACCACTGTCTGTGTTATTCTGACAATCTGTGTGTTTTTTGTAGTTTGTGACGATGACAGTAGACCACTGTCTGTGTTATTCTGACAATCTGTGTGTGTTTTGTAGTTTGTGACGATGACAGTAGACCACTGTCTGTGTTATTCTGACAATCTGTGTGTGTTTTGTAGTTTTTGACGATGACAGTAGACCACTGTCTGTGTTATTCTGACAATCTGTGTGTGTTTTGTAGTTTGTGACGATGACAGTAGACCACTGTCTGTGTTATTCTGACAATCTGTGTGTTTTTTAGTTTGTGACGATGACAGTAGACCACTGTCTGTCAGCGGACAGTTCTGAGGGACAGGATCAGGACAGAGCGCCGTGTGAGAGCAGTGGATTGACTCGCGGTGAAAACATCTTCCTGAATGTTAACGCACCTCTACAGATGGGAGGGCGGTATGATGACACCGATTATCCCAAGGGCGTCAGTAACGAGAAGTTTAAAGGCTGCGTACGGAACATGAGACATAATGGAGAGGTACAGTGATAAACAGATTTAAATCATTAGAATATGATGGATAGAGATCATTGATCTTTGAAATATCACAGATATCGTATATATCTATACGATATATATTGAAATAGTACAGATATTTTATAAACAAATCGAAAAATGATATTTGTATTTTTGAGAAGAGAAGAATATTATTAAATTTTATTTGAATTCACAGTTTCTTTTACATGACCATTGAAATTAGATGATTAAATGTTGTTATAGATTTTATTTTTAAGATTTCTTTTGCTTTCTTTCAGTTGTATAACTTATACACTAAGAACTTTTACCCTGGAAGTCATGACAGCTGTCCTGATGAGGACAATGCCTGCCAAGGTTCTGTCGATCAACCAAAGAAATGCGGGGAGAATGGGAAGTGTGAACTGGTGGCCCTCCCACAAACCACGCGGTGTATCTGCAACCCGGGCTACCGAGGCACCAGCTGTGAGACAGGTACATTGTGTTTTAGTGTTCAGTAAAGAGCATGCATGTAAAATATTAATGCTATCTTCAATTCTGGATTATACACAAAATGCTACTAAATTAATCAAAGAAAATGAACTGTGGTGTTAACTTATTTGAACACTTCCCTTTCTAGCGACTACAGAGAAGTTTTTCCTGACCAAGAGTTACATGGACTGGGCTCTACAGCAGCAGTTCCACGCCAGTCTGAATACAAGGAGAATGGACATCCAGCTCATGTACCGGACACGACAGAAACACGGCATGATTTTCCACGTCACTGGCGAGGGCATCGGAGAGTTCATCAAACTCGAGGTAAAGTATTATGGCCTGTAGAAAACATCTTAAAATTTCTAACATTTCATGTTTGAAAAATACAGTTTCAGTGGCAGATTTCAAGATTTTTGCAAGAAAATTCTTGTTATAAAGATAAAAAATTCCCAAAATATTTTGCCCCAAAATTCTATTACTATTAAGAGTTTCTTTACTGAAAGGCTATAGAATTTTGTGTCCTTTCATTACAGATTGTAGATAATGTGATACAAGTTCTATACAATCTGGGAGATGGAAACAAAGTCCTTCAGATGGTTAATGTCACGGCAGCAGATGGATATTGGCACACACTTTACTTCCAGCGTCGAGGACGAAGCATTGTTTTATCACAGGACGGGGGTGAAGGTCCAATGTTTGTCGAGACGAGTGTGGACTCTAAATACCAGGAACTGACCGTTAAACAGAATCAGATATACGCTGGGGCAGAGGTCAGCTACGAACACTCTAAGACCATTGACCAGACCAATTCTAAAGACCTAGAAAACTGTAAGTAATGGGGGATCTAGAAAACTGTAAGTGTTAGGGGATTTATCAAACTTAAGTATTGGGGGATCAAGAGAGCTATAAGTGTTGGGAGGGGATCTTTAAAACTGTATGTGTTTTGGAGATCTAGAAAACTGTAAGTGTTTGGGGATCTAGAAAACTGTAAGTGGTGTGGAGGGGGGGGGGGGGGTGTCTAGCAAAATTGGAATTGAAAGGATCATTTTTATACTTATTAATACTTATTATAGTATATAATATTTCGTATTCAACTTCTGTGTTCTGGACATTTCAGCCTGTCTGAATGACATCCGTATGGACATGAAATGGTTCCCGATGACTGCCACAGAGAATAGCCAGAATAACGACATCAAGATGGTGGCCGAGGCACAAACAACGAACAACTGTACGCGTGATGACTGCGCGGGAAATATATGTGGAATGAACGGAAAAATCTGTATACCTCTATGGGGCATGCATAAGTGTGTGTAAGTAATTTTATCAGTCATTTAGATTATATTGATTCAGATTTGTTTTTTTTTTTTTTTTTTTCAGGCGAGTCCTTATAAATCTATACTATATTACCTCCCTTTAACAGGTGCCCCCCTCACCACCAGGAGATAGGCGGAAAGTGTGTATTTATAGACTACTGTCAGAATTCTCCGTGCCACCACCTGGCCACCTGTGTGTCAGATAAAGATAACACAGAGTTTGGTTATTACTGTAACTGTCCCCCCAAGATGAGCGGTCGTCTGTGTAACGTGTACAAAGAGCCAATCGTGGTGACGGAAGCTTCTAGCTCGGTTTGGATCATTGTCCTGGCTGTTATATTGATCCTGCTGCTTATTGGTGAGTCAGCCACTTGGGGCTCTCTTAGTTTGAATATCTGCTTGTATCATTTAGGGCTTGTTTAAAACTTTTCGGTTCTGACATTATCATTTTATTGCAATAATCTAAAGAGAACTGAAAACCACACTAGTTTTTTTTTTTATTTATATATGTGAGGTGTCTCCATATGAGTGAAAAATTCTCAAGATGGACGTTAAAGAATATAAAATAAATCAATTTATCTATGTGTCTTGGTACTTTAAAATGGCATTTTAGATTATTTGTACATAAGTATTACTGATTATAAATATGATGACTCCTTTAAAATCACCTTGTCCTTTTGTAGTTGTGGCGATTATTCTGGCGTACTACATCAGACGCCGCAAGGCGCAAGATCAGGAGAACATCATGAACTACGAAAAAGACGACTACGACATCCGCGAAAACATCGTAGATTACGACGAGGATGGGGCGGGTAAGAGAGACGTGCACGGAAGTGCAGATTAAATATTATTTATTTAATACATACATATATTTCAGTTGAAAGTTTATTTTGATACTTATTCAAAATAAATTTTTCATTGTATTTTGTACACTGTGAGTTAAAAAATTGAACAGATCAATGAAATAATTTTTTTTCTATGACAGGTGAAGATGATCACGAGGGATACGATATAAATAGACTGAGGAAACCCGCGGACATGACAAGGATGGATAAACCAATCATGGCCACCCACAGCAGGCCTCTTAAATGTACAGTCAATTCTCGAATTATCGCCATTCGATTCATCGCCATTTTCGCAATACCGCCATGATTTCCAAAGAACGTTTTTCCTGCTATATAAAATTCTCTTTATAACGCCAAATTCGCATACCGCCATCCGCCACCCTGTTTTCAAAACAAACGTCCATTTTTAAGTGTCAATTATCTCGATATACCGCCACAGGTGCGTGTGGTCAGTGAAGCGCGGCTAATTGGTTGACGCTATCCCTGTTGTAAAGCATGCAAAGCCAGACAAGGTACACGCAATTAAAAAATTAAATTAGAATTAAATGAACAAACAATTTTAATATGAACTGTTACAATGATTTTGTTCTGTCGTTTTGTTTAAAAAATCATTTAGTCACGGCTTCGCCACGAAAGCGGTAGTTGTGAAAGTACGCTGAATACGCTATTATTTTGATGATCTCTGCTTTAAACAATGCCAAGTTTGCTTAAAATGATTATACGGTATAAATTGTAAACGTTTCACGAACAATGATGCCATAAACAATAAATTTATTCAAGAAACTATTTAACGTACGGTCAGCAATATATCACGACGATCGACCCAGCATGTTTTTTTTTCAATATCAGACGTTCCGATTTACATGTACATAAATCCACATGTACATGTCTTTATTTCATAACTGCACATTTTGTTTTAAACAAATTGTACATAAAAAATTACTTGAAGTATTTTAAAATTTAGAAATAAGTTGTGCATACATGTAATTGTAATTATAAGAATAGAAACGCTTTATAGTATTTCTAAGAACGGTAACTCTACTTCTTGTTTCCTAAAATATGGGAAATTCAAATCATCGCCAAATTCGTTATACCGCCATGATTTCTTAATTACAAAAGGTGGCGGTTTATCGAGAATTAACTGTATGTAACAATCTTATATTTATATTGCATATCCATACATTTATTATCAAAAGCAACATACAACATGGTAGAACTTACGAGCTCATTCTTGTTATTATTCAATGTATTGTACATGTACATAAATTCGCATATTCAAAATTTACTGCAATCACTTGGTATTGAATTGTTGGTATATTCATGAATTAAAGCACTTGACACAAACACGTCATATAATACATTTAGAAATAAAGCACTAAAGGTATTTTTTCAAGAATTCTATATTTGCACCAAAGCTGCTAAAGTATGAAGTTCGCTAATTTGTGTACAGGTACAGGAATATTTGACAACATATTGTAATCCTGTATTGTATGATGACGTACTAGCTGAGTCTATAATTCCTCTGTTTGTTTACACAGCTGGGCCACCAGGAGGTACGGTAGGGGACTTTATCACGGATCGCCTTGACGATACAAACAACGATCCTGACGCCCCGCCCCACGACACGCTGCACGACTTTGAGTACGAGGGGGAGGGAAGTGATGCTGGCTCACTGAGTTCTCTAAACACGACATCTTCCGGAGGAGACCAGGATTACGACTTCCTCAACGAGTGGGGACCAAAATTCTCCAAGTTAGCGGACATGTACAATAATTATGAGGACGATTCAGACTGATTAGGCTAGGGGAAATTTTAAAACTATGCAGGAAAAATGAAAAATGTCAATATGTTATCAAACTGTAAATGGTGAGAAAGGAAACTATTTAATGTTATCTTGAGGATTGGTAGTGGTCAGAATTACCTGTACTAAGAATTGGCACATTGATGCAGTTATAATCAATTAAGACACTCTGATGCAATTAAAATCGATTTAGATATTTGAGGAAGTAATGATCAATTAAGAATTTTTATTGATTTAAAATCATATAAGAATTTTAATAAAGTTTACTTATAATCAATTAAGAATTTTGATTCACTTAAAATCATAAAAACATTCATAAAGTTATAATTAATTAAGAATTTTGATTCGCTTATAATTATTGAAGAATTTTGATTCACTCAATATAATTATTAAGAATTATATATATAGAATTTATTCTTTTGTATTGATATACATGAATTAGTTATATTAATATAGAAAAATCATGACTTACATGTATTTAATACTCTGAAATTTATACTAAATCAGGAATTACCTACAAAATCAACATATATTAAAAAAATTAGATTGATTAAACATGGTAAATCAAGTTTGATTTAAATTTGAACAATATGCACTTTTGCGTTTAGGTATAAAATACTCATTTGATATTGTAACCATTTATACATTAATCATGAGATTCTAATACAGATCAAACTCTTGACATCTTTAAACATTTTATAGCATTTTTATATTGTGTTGTACAGTCCATTATAAATGGCTGAGTTATCTGTATTCTTGTGTTAATCAGTCAAACTGTCTCTTAAATTTGACACTAATTTGGAGGTCACTGGGGTCATGTGTAAAAGGTCACAGTTGTGTGTGGGTCATCGTCATGGTAACACTGTAAACATACTGTGATAATCATGTATTGTCTTTTATCTTTTGTATATAATTTATCAGTGCTAGCCTATGTAAAATGTTTATCATTCATTGTCTTGTATGAGTCTGAGAGAAAAAAATGAATGTATTTTTTTAAAATCACAAATTCTTGCAGGTAGAGTGTAGTGTATTTGATGAAAATTTATTACATGTTTGAAAGTAAGCTATTTACACAAGTGTATTAGATTTAATCTGCATGTCACTCATTTAAAAAATCCATTGCCTAATTTTGTACAATTTTGTACATCTTGACCAATTTCTATACATCACATTATGGTTGTGGTATTATTTTTTTCAGTAGAAATCCCACATCGTTTTGTTTAGATATTCACTAAGTTACATTCCCGTATACATGTATAAACATATCAAAGACTTATCTTTTCTATAAGGTTGTGCAAGATTTTTTTCATGCATCATCACTGATATTTTTTGTAGTTAAAAGTCATAATATTTTGTTTTATTCAGTATTTTTCAATATGTAAATTATTGTGAAAATATTTTAGTAAAATAAATTTTTTCAACATAAATCATGAGATAATATTTGAGTGTTTGTATGTACAAGGTTTTCCTCTTGGGTAGATAAGGACACAAGGTTTCTCCAAGTACCAGAGTTGAAGCAAACTTTCCCACACCACAACCATTTGTATGTATACAACAATACACATTGCAATACAAAACTTTTTTTCTCTAAGCCAGATTATGATTGATTTTGCACTATAGACTACTAAGAAATAAGTTTCCATGCTTCATGTTTTAGTCCCCTACTGATAAAACTAAAGGGGAAGCTGCGTTGGTTTCCTCATCGTCTTTCTTTCCCATTTAGTTTTCCTGCATATTTTAGGTCACCTGAGCCACTCAGGTGACCATTTACTATTCATTGTCATCCGTTGTCATGACGTGCGCTAAGATTTGTACATTTTCAGCTTCTTCTCTGCATTAACTCAGTCTAAACCAATTTTTGCACAAAGCAATCTATGGGTGAAATTTTCACATCTGCACCATGGTATTAAGCAGATGAACTACATGTAGTTATGATGAGCAAGGCTGCCTCTTCCAGAATTGTGAATTCCAAGACGGCATGATCAGGGGTACCATAGAGGGGGTTTCTAATTATATACTAAAAATGAATTGATGCTTTGACATCTGCTCCTTTGTGTAATCAAACATTTATGATGAGCAAGGGTGTCTCTTCCAAATTTGTGAAATGTTTGGCCAAGATTCCTGTGGGGTAGGGGATTACTGGTTATTACTTATTAGTGAAAACAATAATTGTTCCCTTACTCTTCTTATTGAGTATTAAGTAATTGGCGTATAGTTATGATGAGCAAAGGCACTTCTTTCAAAATCCTTATTATAATGGCCTTGGTTTAAACATGATTCAAATTCAATCGTTGCTACTTGGTGCTCTGGTGACCTTTAAAGCCCATGGGTATCTTGTTAAAAACATTTTCATTGTTTTATATCAAATGTGAAAATATCGATTTTATTAAAACATGTTTCTGTTTTCAACCCAACATAACCAACTGCATTTTCAAAAAAAATCTGTCCTACCCAACTGCATATATTGTGTTAGTTTGCGAAAATGGGTTTTCCTACAGAATTTATAGTTTATAATTTGATTTTTTGGATAATGTAAAATATAGATGAGAAACATGCAACTTTACAAAATCGTATTGATATTTTTTTATTATCCCCCCCTTTAAAAGTCACAACCACTCGCAATGGCATAGGGAAGATGCCTATCGGTTTTGAGGTCAAACGGTTAACACTTTTGTTTCCTTGTGACATCTGGAGTTGCCTTTTAGCTTTTGCAATGACATTTTATACCACACTCCCTATGGCATAAAAAAGATCCATATTGATTTTGAGGTCAGGAAGTCAAAGGTCAAGGTCATAAACTCATACATTCTGTGTGTGAGTATTACTTTTATTTCTGGACAATAACTCAAGAAGCTAAAGTGTTATTGCAATTAAAGTTGATATCATAATTCACTTTGATTCCTCCTGCCTTTCGAAAAGTGCCCCTTTGTCCCCCTCCCCTGATTAATGCATATTTTTTTCCTTCAGTGGGACACAAATTCTCTGACTGAATTAGTTTGTTTATCTAAAGAATCCGAGGCTTAATTTTAATGAAAGCTGATTCTTCAAAAATTACCAACAGATTATGTATGTTGTAAGTATTACCAGCGACGTGTAGGTGGAGCCAGTAAAATGGATGTTTGTGACTGTTTAATCAGAATTCACATTCGTAAATACAAAGTTGAATTTTTGTAAATCAAATACTAGTACACCATTGAGTGTAATGTTATAAGATTGATCTATGAAAAGCTTTCCCTCTTCTTAATGCCTCAAATACCAGTGCATTAGCAAATCAAAAAGTGTTTTACAAAAACAGTTGCATTAGAGTTCACATTTAAACAAATATGAACAAAAAATGACAATGTGACACTCAGATCTCTGGAAGTGTATTTTGTCTTCTATATACACACACAAGGGTTTGCCAAACTTCTTTATTTCTAAATGATATGTGAGCTTTAAATAAATTAAATAATGGTCATTCAGAAAATATTGTAGAGAAGAAATATTCACATTATAAGTACTACCAGATAGGATTCTACAAATATTTCATTTCTTTCACTAATCTAGACATCTTAGTGACAAGTTCCCTGTATTCTCATTTCTGTAGCTGTGTGTATTTTGTGGTGTGGTTTTTGCCTAAGAGATTGTTGGAATGAGTATAGTGCAGCCTGGAGGTTCCCTGTCACCTGTTGACAGATCCCCAGAATCTGCCACGATATGTCTCTGGATAGTAAAGGTATAATCTGTCCCTGATCATAGTAAACTAGGGTGTGTAGATCATCTAGAGCTGTTTGTACTCTCCTTGTGTCTACATGTCTGTAGCAAAAGATCTCTAGCATGTATAACAGAATAAATTGTGGGATACATAATACTGACAAATTGTCCTGTAAACTAGACATTTGTTCTGGTAATAACTCATTGATGTAATGAATTTTATTTTCAAGCAGGATATTGCAAGCTACAGCCTGTCTCATCTTTGTAGACCAGGAATGTCCCCCTACAGCCTTAGTATACATCTCTGAATCTACATTACCAATATATATCACATATGGCTTTGCTAACTTGACCTTGCTCATCTCTATAATTGTTAAAGCTTCCATGTATCTAAGTGTCTTATAAAAATACATGGCTATGTATAGCATATCAGAAATACAACCAAACTCAGCAGGCGCGGATCCAGAAATTTTTCAAAGCGGGGGTTGAAGTATTTTTCAAAAGGGGGGGTTGAAGGCGAAAAGAGCTAAACACGTACGTTGTACACATACATATAGTTAAATAACTCAATAGAAGATAGATATAGGGTGGAGTATGGTTTTTGAAAGTGGGACGTTGATCAAACTGGGGAAAAGTACTTGTATACATTACCAGAAAGTTTTTGAAAAAGAAAGGAAAATAAATCTCCGAACCTGAAAGTCCTATTTTGTAAAGGGATGGGGTTTTATTTTGTTTTTACAACCGAATTTCTTTATATATTACAACATTAGCCTTTGAACTTATATTTTCTATGGTAAAAACACAACAAAAAATTGGAACTTTCTTATTTCTCTTTCTTTTTTGCAAATCCAAAGGGGGGGTTGCAACCCCCGTAACCCCCCCTCTGGATCCGCCACTACTTAGCCGCTAATTTCAGCATGTGGCAGGAGATTTTGTCAGCTCTATACCTCAGTTTGTTTTTATGTGTGTAAGTTTCCATGTGTAACAAAAGAGCTGCTTTCTGAAGGACTGCCGCTGTAAGTTTCTGTAGCATCACAGCTTGATACTGTGTAAGGAGGGGTAAGCCTTTCATCTGTTCTATTGTATGTAGAGACCTCATACAGATTTCTAGGTTTGGTATGTAAAGTGAGTCATATGCGTAAATCTCTTGAACATGTTGAAAGAGCTCTCTATCAAACTTTGCCTCAGAAATCAGAGTATGTTCGTCTGTACAGATGGACAGGTGGGGGTTATGGAGGACATTTATAATGCAAGACCTAATGGAGGGACTATGTAGCAGGAATGCTAAACCTTTCTCAGACAACCCATACAGTCTTATAAATAGCTGATGTTGCGCTTCACCATGGACTTTACTCAGAAACATGTTATTTTGGGGAATGAAAAAGTTTGGACAGACCCCCTCGTACACCCACTTAAGGATGAGCTTAAAGCAGACCCAGAAACACTCCAGGAGAGTTTGTGGACACCAGTGTTGTAATGTATTCTGTTGAATTACCCAGAAAACTGCTGTCTTCATGTGATAGGAACACAGTAATTTATCATCATCATCACCTAGTCCATTGTTAATTATTTCTCTTAAGAATAATTTAAGCAAGCCGTAAGTTAAGAATTGACAGTGATTCATAGCACACACAAGTTTGTGTTCTGCAAGAGAGAAAGAAATTCTCCATTCATTGTGCACATAGTGTCCTAGTGTATGTCCTATTGCTACAAAGTGACACCCATTTGTGACTAGATCATCAACAACATGAGGCTGGGGCCATGACTGGCACCTGTCTACCCATGAGGAGGGACAAGGCCAAAAGTCACTAACAAAACAGAGGGCACAATCAAGTTCTAGCGTGTCCTCTGACAAAACTACACTGACACAGGGTCCATGTGGAGTGGGGTCAGGAAAAACTGCAGAACTCCAAGTCTTTCCGTATTTTGAACTAGATATGTAAAGCCTGTTATTTTCTCTAAAACAAGTTCTTTGGATGTTTTGATTCCTGCTTGGTGACAGTAAATATAACAATGTGTATCCTTGTGGACTATCAGAACAGTCACAGAGGATCAGTGTATGCCTGTGTGTGTTGTAATACTGAGATTGAGATAAGTCCCAGATCACACGGTGTTTTTGTGACCACATCATAAAGTCCCTATCTGATCCTTTCAGTCTGAATCCTTCTCTGTAACTTCCGCTGACCATCAGACTGTCATCATCGCTTGTTGTCACATGATCTAGCACTGCATCCCTGATGTCCATCACATCTCTCCTCATGGCCACCAGCTGTGAAGTCCCAAGTTTATCACACAGTCCCATGAACACTGATTCAGACATACGTTTTAGGACTGCCTTTCTAAAGACGAATAACGAAGATTTTATTTTTTTTTGATAAATTGTATATGATACTGGTATACACCATATATAATTGCTATTTTAGTAAATTATTCAATATTTACATAATTTCGATGATTAAATATTAAAGTTATTTATATCTTGTTCTTAGCCTTCTAAGCTTTCGAAATTCTTATTTCTTTCAAAGTTGATGTAAATTACGTTTAACATGGACCTCATGCATGATTGGTTTTCAATTTATAATAAATTCATAGGCGTCGAAATGGGGGTTAGGGGGGCTGCACCCTCCTTGGTTTATTGCAAAGATAGACCTAATATAGGGAATGAAAATTGGGGTTAACTTTTTTTGTTGGCTAAGCCCCCCCCCCCCCCGCCACACACACACAAACATACTTAAACTAGTCACCCCACTTTCAATTTGTTGACGCCTGTGAAATTTTCAAAGAACAAGAAGTTGAAAACAGATCTGCTAATTGTACATAAAGTTATCACATTGTTCACTGATACAGACAATGTAAATACTTAAAGTACAATATACATTAAAACTTACATTGGTGACGTGCTAATGGGGTCCATTTTTACAGGTAACGATATGAAAAGTATCAATTGCTATATATAAATAGTACAGGAAAACCCACTAAATCCACTTTCATTTTATAATGACTATTATAATTGTAAGATAAGATAAGATAATATTTATTTAAAGTCGGGTATATCAAACAATAAACATTAGCTGTGAAGAGCTATTTTCCGACTACATATTAATATTACATAAAATACAACAATCATATACATGTAATTATAATAAACAAGAAACATCTTTTAAAATTTTACATCACACTACTAAAATATCAGTATTACTCCGTGGTGCTTTACAATGATATAGTATTCATCACATTTAGACCAACATCTGAAAATAAATTAAACCCTCTTTACCAGTTTCTACAAATAAAATTAGCGACAAGCACAGCAATTACAACAATTTCCGTACTAACTATTTATATTTGATTTGATCTGTTTAAAAGTAATATTTTCAAAAGATTGTGGTAAAGAATTCCAAAGTTTGGCGGACTCATATCTAAAAGACTTCAACCCATATGTTGTTGATCTTGTTTTTGGGAAAACATGTGTGTTAATCTTTAACTTGCTTAAAATTTCGGAATTTGTTTATATAAAATTATATTGTTTATATAAATAATCATAAGACAGACATTCCCAACTCTACACCCTATGCCTGAAAAGTTTTGGATAAAAAGAAATCATAAACATTATGCTTCTTTTTATGCATAACGAATCCTCTTGATTTTATGTCACTCAGGTGACCTTGTATATCTGTTTTCATCTTTCGTCATTCGTCTTCTGTTTTGTGTTAATCATTGAATTCATATATTTGGATATCGTCGGTCGTGGCCTTGCCGATAAATTGAATAAATAGCGCGGTATAATAATTTGTCGGCACTGCCAGGTGTGTTGTATGACCGATGATATCCAAAAATATGAATCCAATGCTTATATTTACATTATCTAATTTTCCATCATTATACATGTAATTGTTTAATTTGCTTATCTTTAATGTGCATTTCGTGCCCTTCGTAAATTTTGTTTTTAATAAACCGAAGAGCCATTTGATACGTTGCTTAGTTAAAGAACGCAAACGAACATTAGGTGGAAAAATATGGCAAATTTATCATACCCCCTCCCCCGCTTGAAAAGCGGGAGAGTATACAGTAATTGGTATGTCCGTCCACACGTCTGTTTGTACGTTACGCTTTGGGGTACCAATCTCTTATTCACAACTCCTCTCATACCACTGAATGAAATTTGATGAAACTTTCACAGAATCTTTATCACTTATTGTCAATGTGCACCTCCTATTTTACTTTCTGATTCGACACATATTATGGGTTTCTCAAAGCAAACCATGGATACTGCCTTTCTTTCCATATGGGAGGCGAGGTATCATTTAGTTCGGTTTTAAACTGGATATCTTGATGAATAATTATTTTCCTATTTTTTATAGAGTTTTGGCCATTTAAAAGTTTTAAGGAAAAGAAGCCGGATTTTTATTCGTTTTCCACACTTGACCTTGTTTGCAGATATTAAGCTGGTTTTTGCTATGTGGGTCTTCCTTCAAAAGTTTAAGATCAACTTATAATAGGATGAGGTCACCAAAATTTCGTGCACGAAGAGGTCCTGTAATTTGCTTAAGTTGTGGACAAGAAGGACATGTCAAATATGGATGTCGTGTACGCTTGCACCATAAAAGGAGAACTTTAAAATGAGGAGGCTAACTATGACGAGACGCGGGAGATACCGTATAGCGGGTTATTTTAGCAGGGTGCTAAATTTGGCTGATCTTGGCGATGGTAGTCCGCTAAAATTTCAATCGCTGAAATAGTCAGTACTCTTCTAAGTGTTCAACTGCAAAGAGATGAGTCACTGTATCTGCTAAAATAAATGACGCCAAAATTAATGGCATACCTTTGAGCAAGTAAAATGCCAAAATTTACACTCGCCAAGAAAACCCGTTATACGGTAGGTCTGATCGATTATTCAATAGCGTCACAATTTGGAAGGAGTGCCAGCTAAGTTTCATTTAAGATTGAAGGTGTAAAAACACATGCACTATTGGACACGGGTTCAACAGTTTCTATAATGGTAAAAAGTTTTTATGAAGGACATATTGCTGAAAAACCTATTCAAAACAGATGACAATATTTCTATTCTACTTTTCCTGAATGTTGATGACACAGACTATTATTTGTCAGTGCCAATTTTACTGTGAACAAATCATTAGAGCCTTAATAGAAGATGCTTAAACAGAATTTGATGATATATTCTACAGCGAGCAGAACGTCAGACAATTTGGAACCTCATATTTAGATGTATTTGTTTTAGGGAGAGATTCTTAAGGAAACATTATAAAAGACCTGCTGTTATAAGATCATAGGGAACGTGTATTCATTCCAGCCAATACAACGCGTGCAGTGAATATTTAAGGCTTTAAAGGTTTGAGGACAAGATGTTTCCATATAATTAAACAATTGCTATTATTTAACAGACCAACAACTTGAGCACAATATCAGAGGTAGATGTGACACCAACCTTCCATCACATATGACTACCGAAGCAGAGATTCTCTATCAATCATAATTAAAGAGGAAAGAGATCATCTAAAACAACTTTTAGATGCAGGTATAATACGACCATCGATATTCCCCCTATTCTACCAACATCGTACCGGTTAAAAAAAAGAACGTCGAGTTGAGAGTGTCTGTGGACAATAAACAGAATTACTAAGAAGGACCGCGCATATGCGTTGCCTAGAATAGGGGAAAACGTTTGAAGAAAGTTTGAAGAACCTGATTGGAAATAAATCCCTTAGGATGTCAAGTCTGGATACCACCAGGTTGAGATTAAATGAAAAAAAAACACAGCTTTTACTGTAGGGGCTTTATGATTTAATGAGTTTGACAGAATGCCTTTTGGTTTGTTCAACGCACCCGCTACCTACCAGAGGTTGATGGAATAGTGTTTGGGAGAACTGTACCTAAAAATAACTATTTGTTTTATATTTTTAAATGTTTAAATAATTTTCTCAAAACATTTGAGGAACATAATAGAGATATTACAGCCTGTGATCAACAAACTATGGAAGACAGCATTACTGTATTGTAAAACTTTCTCTCAAGAAAAATTAAAGTATGTCGGCCATATAGTGTCTGAGAAGAGAATTGAGACAGCCCCACAAATGCTCTATCATACGGAACAATATGATATCTAAGATACTGATACATATACATCAGAAGTTTGTCAGGCTAAACCATCTACCATGATCAAATACTTCGGATTTATTATCAGTATTCACAAATTTCACTACGTCGATTGACAAAAAATATGCATTTATGAATACTGACACTTAGTGTACGCGTTATTATTTGATAACTGTTATTGTATGAAAATCATAATTTGGAAAAAAGTCGTGTAAAGAACGCACGGAGATGATTTTTGATTTCAGTCAAAGGTAACGAAGGGGGATCTTTAAGAAAGGGGAAGCTGCAAAATCTAACTAAAGACTTTTTGCAATCTGGATATTGTTAAAAATGAAATCACCATAAAATATGTTGAAAATCACATTTTGTTGTCATCTGTTTATAAAAAAATTAACTTGGCTCCATATCCTACGATAACATAAGCGTTGAAATAATTTCTAATATTTTTGCATCTTGTTACAAATGAAAAATACCCTTAAAAATACAATGTTTTCTTGCTATTTTGGTAACAGGGCGGTTTTGTAAGCTTTGGAATTTCCGGGAAAATATGTTTAAGGACAGGTAGTGGTCAGAATAATCCGTACTGAGAATGGGCACATTGGTTCAATTATAATAAATTGAAAATTTTGATGGAGTTATGATTAATCAAAAATATGATTAACTTAAAATCATTTACGAATTGTGATTAATTTATAATAATTAAGGAATTTTTTTTTCATTAAGATATAGCCAATAAAGAATTTGTATTAAGTAATAATCAATTAAGAATATTTTTATTCATTTACAATCATTAAAGAATTTTGATGCAATGAAGAACATTATAGAATTATAGAAAGAATTTATCCTTTTGTATTGATACAGATGAATTAGATATATTTGATATAGAAAATCATAACTTACTTGTATTTGATACTCTGAAATGCGAAATGGGAAATTACTTACAAAATCAACATGTAAAAAAATAGATTAATAAAAAAAAAATAGTTAATCAAGATCAATTTAAATTTGAACAAAATGCACTTTTGTTTTTAGGCATGCTATTTTCAAATTATTATATGCAATGAGTCTTCTCAACAATTACTGAATGAAAATAAATATTATTACCGATCAAAACCAATGTAAACTGACGAAGCTTAAAAACTATAAATCAGTATTTTGCAATATTTGTTTTGTGTAATCAGCATTTTTGTGACCATTATTATTTTTTGAACTATTGTGATTTCAAAAACTTTAACTCTCCCTAATGCCTCAAACACCAGTGCTTTAGCCAATCAATCAAAATCTGTTTTACACAACAGATGCATTCAAGTTCACATTTTTCAGTGGATATGAATAAAAAAAATGACAATGTAACATTCAGATTTCTGGAAGTGTATTTCATCTTCTATATTTACACAAGGATGTGCTAAACTTCTTTAAATTTTTAAAATGTTTTGTGATTTTATATTCAATTAAATGGACATTTACAAAATGAAGAAGAAAATTTCAAATTGATAATTGTACCAGATAGGATTCTACAAAAATGTCTCATTTATTTTACTAATCTAGACATCTTAGTGTGAAGTTCTCTGAATTCTCATTTCTGTAGCTGTCTGTATTTTGTGAAATGGTCTTTGTCTGAGAGATTGTTGGTATGAGTCTAGAGCAGCCTGGAGGTTCCCTGTCACCTGCTGACAGATCCCCAGAATCTGCCACGATATGTCTCTGGAGAGTAAAGGTGTAAACTGTCCCTGATCATCGTGGACTAGGGTCTGTAGATCATCTAGAGCTGTTTGTACTCTCCGTGTGTCTACATGTCTGTAGCACAAGATCTCTAGCATGTATAACAGTACAAAGGGTGGTACAAATAAATAATTCCAGTGTCTCTGTGGAGCAGACTGTTGTTCAGGTATCAGTTCAGTGATGTTATGGATTCCATTGTAAAGTATGATATCCCCTGCTACAGCCTGTCTCATCTTTGTAGACCAGGACTGTCCCCCTACAGCCTCAGTATACAACTCTGTATCTACATATCTATGAATAACATAAGGCTGTGTTAACTTGGCCTTGATTATCTCTATAATAGATAAAGCTTCCATGAATCTAAGTGTCTTATAATAATACATTGCTATGTACATCATGTCAGAAATACAACCAAACTTAGCCGCTAATTTCAGCATGTAACAGGAGATTTTGTTAGCTCTATACCTAAGTTTGTTTTTATGTATGTAAGTTTCCCTGTCTATTATAAAAACAGTTTGCTGAAGGACAGATGTTGTAAATTTCTGCAGCATCAAGACTTGGTACTGTGTCAGGCGGGGTGAACCCATCATCTGTTCTATTATATGTAGGAACTTCATACAATATTTTAGGTTTGGTATGTAAAGTGAAATTGCGTCATGTGTGTCTAACTCCCCTAATAGTTGAATATCAAACTCAGTCTCAGAAATCAGAGTATGTTCATCTGTACAGATGGAGAGATGGGGGTTGTGAAGGACATTTATAATGCAAGACCTAATGGAGGGACTATTTAGAAGGAATGCTAAACCTTTCTCATACAATCCATACAGTCTTATAAATAGCTGAAGCTGTGCTTCACCATGGACTTTACTCAGAAACATGTTGTTTTGTGGAATGAAGAAGTTAGGACAGACTCCCTCATACACCCACTTGAGGATGAGTTTAAAGCAGACCCAGAAACACTCCAGGAGATTTTGTGGACACCAGTGAGGTATTGTATTTCGTTGTGCCACCCAGAAAACAGCTGTCTTCATATGGTAGGAACACAGTAATTTGTCACCAGTACTTATGGCATTATCATTGTTAATTATTTCTTTTAAGAACAATTTCAGCAAGCCATAAGTTAAGAATTGACAGTGATTCATAGCACGCACAAGTTTATGTTCTGCTAGAGAGAAAGAAATTCTCCATTCATTGTGCACATGATGTCCTGATGTATGTCCTATTGCTACAAGGTGACATCCATTTTTTACTATCTCGGAAACAATATGAGACTTGGGCCACAAGTGACATCTGTCTTTCCAGGACGCAGCAGGTGGAGGCCAAAAGTCACAAGCAAAACATTTGGCCAAATCATACTCTATTTCACCTGAAGAATCATATTCCTTTTCCCAAAAATAAACCCCACTGACACAGGGTCCATGTGGAACGGAGTCAGATAGGTATGAACACCAAATCTTTCTGTATTCCGAACTCGATATGTAATATTTGTTATTCATTCTAATACAAGCCCTCTGGACATGTCTGTCCATGCTTAGTGACAGTAAATTTAGCAAAGTGTATCCTGGTGGACTTTCAGAACAGTCACAGAGGATCAGTGCTTGTCTGTGTGTGTTGTAAAACTGAGACTGAGATAATTCCCAGATCACACGGTGATTGTTTGGCCAAAACATAGTGTCTATATCTGATCCTTCCAGTCTGAATCCTTCTTTATGACTTCCACTCGTCATCACACTATTCTCACCACTTGTTCTCCCTAATCGAGTTTCCACCATATCACTGATGTCCATCACATCTCTTCTCATGGCCACCACCTGTGAAGTCCCAAGTTTATCACACAGTCCCTTGAACACTGACCCGGACATATGTTTTAGGGTTGTATTCCTAATGACAAAAAACAGGGAATTTATATGTCTTGATCAGTTGTTACGCACCATAATTAGGTCATCTGAGTAAACTCAGGTGACCTATTGCTATCCGTTTTCGTCCGTCGTCGTTCGTCGTGAGTTGACATTTGAACATTTTCAGTTTCTTCTCTGAAACCACTGAACCAATTTCAATCAAATTTAGCTTCTTGTGTTAGGGCGGGGCTCTATTTATTATATATAGTGAAAACACATGATTTTTTTTGAAAATCTTCTTTACTGCCCCTGGATATTAAATACACTAACTAAGTTCATAGTTTTGATAAGCAAGAGAGCCTCTACCATAATTATGAATTTTATGGCCCCAGGGTCAAGGGTCCTGGTGTTGAGGGGGGCTCTATTGATTATATAGTGAAAATACATGAATACTTTGAAAATCTTCTACTCTGCTCCTAGGTATAAAATAAACTAACTAATTGCATAATTATGATGAGAAAGAGTGCCTTAACCATAATTGTGAATTTTATGGCCCCAGGGTCAAGGGTTCTTGTGTTAGGGAGGGGGGCTCTATTGATTATATAGTGAAAATACACAAATTCTTAGAAAATCTTCTTCTCTGCTCCTAGGTATAAAATAAACTAACTAAGTGCATAGTTATGATGAGCAAGAGTGCCTCAATAAAAAATTGTGAATTTTATGGCCCCAGGGTCTGGGGTTCTGGTGTTAGGGTGGGGCTCTATAGATTATGTAGTAAAAATACATGAATTCTTTGAAAACCTACTACTCTGCTCCAAGGTATTAAATAAACTGACTAGGTGCATAATTATGATGAGCAAGAGTGTTTTTACCAAAATTGTGAATTCTATGGTCCCAGGGTCAAGGGTTCTGGTGTTGGGGGGGGGGACTCTATTGATTATATATTGAAAATACATGAATTCTTTGAAAATCTTCTACTCTGCTCCTAGGAATTAATTAAACTAAGTACATAGTTATGATAAGCACGAATGCCTCTTTTAAAACTATGAATTATATGGCCCCAGGGTCAGGGGTTCTTGTGTTAGGGGGGCGGGGCTCTATTGATTATATAGTGAAAATACATTAAATATTAGAAAGTTTTCTTCTCCGTCTCTGGGTATAAAAGCTGATGAACTACCTTTATAGTTATTATCAGCAAGGGCCCTAATCTTGCAGACTTGTGAATTTCAAGGCCCCAGGGTCAGGGGTGGGATGGGGCTCTACTTATATACTGAAAATGAATTTATTGTTTGAAATCTGCTCTTTTGTAATTATAAACCATTTATTTATTGATTTTAAGGGTGCCTTTTAAAAATTTGTGCAATGTGTGGACCTTAAGGGTCAGGGGTTTAGGTCACAGTGTTAGGGGCACTACTGATTAGTTGGAATGCATTTTTTGTTCCCCTACCCTGCGTATTCAGTCAAAAGGCTAAGCAACTGCTAAGTGTATTGTTATGATGATCAATGGTGCCTCTTTCAAAATTGTGAATGTCACATACCATCTGGCTTAAAACATTAATCAAATTCAATAACTGGAAAGTTGTTGCATAATGCTCAGGTGACCTATAAGGCCCGTGGGCCTCTTGTTTTATGAATGCCATTTTAGTAAGTCATTCAATACTTACTTAATAACGATGACTATAAATTAAGATTATTAATATTTTACTTTATAAAACATGTTAAACTTTTAAATTCTATTGCTCAATACTGATCTCAAATATATTTTAATGTACCCGCATGATTCAATGTTCTCAGCTTATAATATAGTTACAGTACGTAACAACAAAATAGAGCATGCTTATTGTATACAAAGATAATCAATGCATCACATTAATTATTTACTGATACAGACATTAAAACTTGTTTTAATCACATTGAAACTTACATCGGTGAAATTCTAAAGGGGTCCATTTCTATGAAAATAACCAGGTGCTATAAATATATAATTAAGCAGCCATTAATAAGTCGACAATACGCTCGTGCGGGGCACGAACTATCCGAGGAGCACCGAGTGGTTACTTTGTTGATGATGCGATTATCTAAATATAGAGATGTAAACAATGAGTGATCTGTCTGTTATATATATATATATATATAAAAACTGCAAAGGTATTAAGGATCCCCTGCCGGTTGTTTGTTGTTCAAAATATATGTTCTTAATTAATCATATACAGGTACATGTTGCCTTCTGCGTTTATGATCGATGATCTGCGCCAGATGACATAATTATTATAAGTAGATCAACGCATAATCTAGGTACTGAAAGTACTGATAACAGTTGATTATAAAATTAATTCGATGGATGATAGATTGATTGTATATTGTTTAACGTCAATCTTGAGAATTTTTGACTCATATGGAGATGCCACCACTTGCTGGTGGAAAGCTGCAATTTTTTTTTACTTATACTCGCCACCCATTGAGCAGAGAGGGATCTTTTTCGAGCCAGCACCCGGGACCTTGGTTTATACAGTCTCATACTAAGGACCTGTCTCTTAGTCTTTTGGTGGGATTCGAACCTGAATTCGATGTATGTAACCTTGCCCAATTTTCAAATCATAATTATATTAATGCTTCCTGATCATGCTGATTGTTGTAAGTGAGAAGTAAATGCATAAGAGGATTTCGTGATCCTACAGAGTCAAAGCAGTATGGTTTGTTCTACTGTAAATCACTTTTTATTCACGAGAACTCTATTTTTGCATAACTAAGCGAGACAACGTATTCGCAAAAATTCTTTCTCAATTTTACTGAAATACGTCATCAATTCATAGCAACTAAAATTACAAAATGTAAATGTTTTAACTTAAATGTTGTTTTTCTGTTATTTCTTGGATCCACGCCTTGGCAGATCATTACTGCTAGAAATTGGGTCATAGGTAACTGCCTACCAATTAATTAAATGTTCCGGTCCATTTGTCAGTATTTGAGTGCATACTTCTTAAATGACTACATTGGGCATCAGGCAAGTGTTTGTGGTGCCTACTGCTTTAAAGTCACCAAACTTTGTCTAAATCAGTTAAATCAGTTTTCTACAAATTCCCCTAGCCCGAATCGTGGAGTGTAAACTGCTGAATACATTACCATGTTGAAGATGCTTTTGAGCAATATTTTTTTGAATATGAAACAAATTATATACATTAAAATCATATGTCATGGAATTATTATACTGTCACAGACTTCTCCTCTTGCTCTGGCTGAGATATTTAGCAGCATTTGTTGATTATGCTAATATGCTCCTGAAATGACGTATTTTCTTGCATGTCTACAGTTTTCTTTTTAATGATATAGTCAACCATAGAACCTGCAACCAATTTTTAATGCAATTTTATATAACAGGCAAAAAAGTCATTACATCACTTTTTCTATATTATTAAAAGTGAGATCATTTCTTCTAAATTATTGAAATGAAGCCAAAAATAAAATATATTCTTAAAAAGCAGCTGTAAATTTAAGGTTGGCAAATTGGGAATCTTATTTCAGATGATTTCTGAATGCGTTAAGTAAGTCAAATGTGCCTTATCTCTTGAAACAGCTCAATATCAAACTCAACCCCAGAAATCAGAGTATATTCATCTAAACAGGTGGAGAGATGGGGGTTGTGAAGGACATTTATGATATATTAGATCTATTATGGAGGGATTGGGTAACAGAAATGCTAAACCTTTTTCATACAATCAATAGAGTCTTGCAAATTGAAGATGTCGGGCTTCACCATGCACATTACTCAGAAACATCTTCTTTTGGGGAATTAAAAAGTTAGGACAGACCCCCTCATGCACCCATTTAAGCACTAGTTTAAAACAGACCCAGAAACACTGCAGGAGATTTTGTGGACACCAGTGTTATAATGTCTTGTTGAATTACCCAGAAATCTTCTATCTTCATATAGGAACACAGTAATTTATCACCATCACTTTGTACAATGTTTATTATTTCACTTAAGATGAATTTAAGCAAGCCATAGGTTAAGAACTGACAGTGATTCATAGCACGCACAAGTTTATGTTCTGCAAGAGAGAAAGAAATTTTCCATTCATTGTGCACATGATGTCCCAGTGTATGTCATAATGCTACAAGATGACATCCATTTTTTACTACCTAATCAATAATATGAGGTTAGGGCCATGAGTAACATCTGTCTATCCATGAGGAGGCAGACGGAGGCCAAAATTCATTAACAAAACAGAAGGAATGATCAAACCATCCCCCCACCAAAAAGAAATTCCACTGACACTTAGAACAATAAAACTTTCTGTATTCTGAATTGGAGATGTAATACCTTTCATTCATTCTAACACAAGCTCTCTGGATGACTCTGTTCATGCTTGGTGACAGTAAATATAACAAAGTAAATCCTGGTGGGCTCTATGAAAAGTCACAGAGGATCACTGTTCGTCTGTGTGTGTTGTAAAACTGAGACTTGGATAATTGCCATATCACACGGTAATTATTAAGCCATAACATAAAGTCTAAATCTGATCCTTTCATTTTGAATCCTTCTCTTTTAATTTTTCTATTCACCGTATTTTTTAAATTAATAATTTATTTTTAATTACGAGAGAGAGAGAGAGAGAGAGAGAGAGAGAGAGAGAGAGAGAGAGAGAGAGAGAGAGAGAGAGAGAGAGAGAGAGAGAGAGAGAGAGA